AATGATAGGTTAAGTGTCAATAAAGCACTAATATCAAAGTTTTAATTTGATTGTCAAAAAAATTAAAGTTTTAATTCAGCCATTAATTACATAATTAAGCCATAAAATATTTAGCAGTTATAAAATGAGGCAATTGAACAGTTTTTGTGATTATTATTTTGATGATTTGAATACTTCAATTGAGTCCAAATCATTAAAATAATAATTATAAAAAACACTTTAAAATGCCTCATTTTATAACTGCTAAATACTTTAATGCTGAATACATAAATCACTATAATTGACAATTGTGGTGGCATTAATAATGCAGGTTACGAACTTTATGGGAGGAAAAACTTTCTTTTTTTTATTGGGTTCAAATCTTGCTACAAACATTTTTACTAATAATTGATACTTCGTACATCATTAACATGTAATCACTTATGTGGCAAGTTTATAACTTGAAGAAAAATGATGTGGCGAAATGAAACAGAAAAAGTTACACATTGCGAAATGATACTTCTTGCCTTTGAGTTTTAATAATAATACCTATTGATAATTGTCTACTTGATATAACAGCGGTAATATTAATATGTGTTGTCATGTTATCAACTATGTGCCGCTATGTCATAAATTTTATGATGACATAAGAATGACACATGTCGTTTGTTCAGGGTAAAAATACCCCTGACACGTGGCCCAATCCTACAGTGACACGTGGCCCAATAAATGGGCGACACGTGTTACAATAGGAATCTGACATGTGTCAAACATAAGAGCACCTAAATGAGAGAAAAGGCTTCCTTACATCAGGAGGCCCAAATCCTGACAATGGCACAAAACGACGCCCCCAAAGGACACATGTCCTCACCTGATTGCTCGCCAATCAGAGCACACCATTCTAGGTCATCAAACCTTATATGACACACATTCCCACCCCTATATATAAATACCCCAATCATTTATTATGGGAGGGGTGGATTGTGACATATCATCCAAGAGTATTAAATTGCTCCAACTTCTCTCTACTTTCTTTCACTAAAATTACTTCGTTTTCCGATCACTAACTTGATTGTCGGAGGCGAATATTCTGTCAAACGAAATATTTGTTATTTTGCAGGTGTCCAAGACCGTTCGGCTGTATTCAAGTCCTGTATCCCGAGGGATTCCCAAAAACCCCAAAACATTTGGCGCCGTCTGTGGGGATACACGTCTGAATTGTCTAAAGATGGCAAGACACCTAGTCCTGGTGAGGATGAGCACGTAGAGAATCTCATTGCAACAATCAACTCTAGCGATCCTTTGACCACTTCATTTCACGAGGCAGAGGATCCACCTATCACGACTGCTTCCTTAAAGGTCGCCTTGGAAAAGCTCCAAAAGGAGCTTGAGGGTAAGATCCCCTCTTCTTCTAGACAACCGTCTAGAAGAGAAGGAGAGGGTGTCCGAAAGAAACCCTAGGGCAAGGTTACCAAGGGAGCCCCGAATGAATTGGTCCAAGCTATTTAAGAAAACACAGTCGACTGGGGGGCAGGCCAAGCAGCCTCTGAGGCAACCGAACAAGTCGTCCCAACGCTGGAAGGATGCTAGAGATTATCTTTGGTACAAGCGGCAGGAGCAGGAACACTACTCGGACACTGCCTCCACTCCCACCATGCCGGATGATTTCTTTAACCACACCCTCTCCAAGCATTCCAGCTCAGCAAGGACCAGCAGGAGTCAAGCTCACCGTACTCCAACTCCAGTTCCATTAACTCAACCACTTCAGCTTCAAATTCCCCATGACTATGGTGTAGTTTTGTTGCCTATTCCCCCAGCGTACAGGTAGTATGGGCAATATGGCCCGCCGTATAACTAGGCCCCATACCTGGGCAGACTGGCCGCATAACCTCAGCCTATTGATTGGCAAATGCTCTTGTTGAATCTTGGTGACAAGCCGCCTCCATTTTCTCAAGAAATTCTCAACTCTCCTCATCCAGCTAAAGTGAAGAGCGTACTCATGGGTGCTTATGATGGTACGGGCAACCCGGAAGAGCATGTTACCTCGTACAAAAATTTAATGTACTTGTAAAGTGTGGATGATGCCACCTGATTTAAATGCTTCCTGCCCACCCTCAAGGGTGTGGCACAAGACTGGTTCAATAGTCTGCCGGTCAGATGCATCAATTGCTTCACAACTCTCAACTTATTGTTTTTTGTAAACTTCTCCTACAATATTCCACCCCGGAAGACTAGTATTAACTTGGCGACCATCGTCCAAGGAAAGAAAGAGGGGTTGCGCTCGTACGTCCAAAGGTTCAACTTGGTGAAAGCTCAAATTCAGAATCTGCCGGATCAAATGGCCTACTCGTAGTTCCTTCGAGGTTTAAGGCACAATGGTTTCAAGTTAGATTTAATCAGGAAAAGATTCGGACATACATAAGCGTTCTGCGGGAGGCCAAATCATATATTGAGGCAGTTGATTATTGTTCGCTGACAAAGTCAAAGGAGCCGGCTAAGAAGAAACCATCTTCTCAGCAAGACTCGGCCGACAAAAATAAGAAAGGAAATAACAAATGAAAAGAGGTCTGGGTTACCGACTGCCAATAGATAAAGTCAAAGAAAGCCAAGACGTATGAGCCGCAGTATGAGTACAACAAAGATTGTTATTCAAATTTGATGGAAATCAAAGATAAGTTCAAGTTCGAGAAGCCTCATCCTTTGAAAGGGCTGACCCTGTATAGAAACAAGAACAAGTACTATCATTACTACAAGGATGTGGGGCATGACATGAATGATTGCAACAACTTGAAGAGGTTGCTTGATAAACTTGCCGAGAAGAGCATGCTCAACTCATATGTTCAGAATCCAAGTTCACCTACTCTCGGACAGACAACAAATCCGAGAAGAAAAAATAAAAAGAAAAAGGTGATTATGGAAATAGCACAGACTCAGGGTTCGTGGCTGTCATATCAGGCGGCTATACTGCATAAAAATCAGATCTGACAAAACGGATATAGGAGTCACAACATAGGAGCAAAATGTTTTCTACAGTCACAACATAGGAGTCATGCAACTTAAATTAGTTGCCACATTAGAAGATGGTCTTGTACCTAAAGAAGTAAAATATGCTATGGAACCATCAAGATCCCTCAATTGAATCCCCCAGCAAAACGGATATATTCATTAGTCGACAGTGACACAAAGGTGTTTTTCACAGCAGCTACGTTCTTTGCAGCGTTTTTTGCTCTTGTGACTTTCTCTTTTCCTTTTTTTTTCTATGCATGATGGGTGTCTAACATTGGTAGTCCTATGTGCCTTCTTCTTTGGCAAGGGTGGATCTCTAATGATCCCTGGGGCACAACCATCACAGCTCCCTTGAAAAGCATAACTAGGAGTAGTAGATGTGTTTGGGATGCCTTGGACAGGACCATGAGCAGCTGGAGTAGTAATACCAACAGGTCCCTTGTTTTGTTCCACAGACGAAGGCATTCGAACCAGACCTTCGTCGACATTTTCCTGTTCATTATCATTGTTTGTCAGTTTCTCATGCCGTTTTTTCTCCACCATTGCTAGTACCTCATCAACTCTTATATCCATCAATTGCAGCATCTCGATCACAGTTTCAACACTCTCTTGGCAAACAGAAGCCTTTGATCATATTGGTTCATATGACACCATAAGCTTCTGGTACTGTCGCACTTCATTTGTCTTTAAAGGGTCATGGTAAGCAACTTTGACTCTTGTATGTTTCCTTTGAACATCCTTCCTCCAACGTCTAAGAACATATTTCTCCGGAACAATACCTACACCTTGAAGGTCGTACACGTGGATCATATGTCGGTAAATGATGCCATGACACTCAAAATGTTTACAATCACAACACGCCTCATAAGATTGAGCATTGTAAAGAACCCTATAGCATCTCCTTGCTATTAAAGACTTGGTACATTCACGTTGCAAAGTTCCTTGCTCCTTTAGGCTTGATCCATACACGATCTTCAAGAATGAACTCAATATTCTTCTCACAATGTTCTATTTGATCCAAGCAATGCACATATAAAGACTTGGTACATTCACGTTGCACTTCTTTGAATTTCGAATCGGTGTAGAACTTTTAGAATAACTCTTTTGCAGGAAAGTCAGTTGCCAAATGTCTGACATACTAGAGTGTATTCACATTTGCAATTCTTTCAGCTTCAGCCCATATCTGCATAGCATCGCAGTAATGAAGCACTAACTCCAACAAAGTTGTGTTCTTGTCAACATAGCCTTTAAAGAGATGATTGAAAACTCTCCGAGCGTTGTGTGATTTTCATTCCCGCCTAGAACAAGTGCTTTAAATATGCTAGGATCCACATGTGTCTCTCAGCATAAAGCCCTATTTTTACCAATTAACAACATCACAACAGTCAAACAACAACAAAGCTACACACTTTGTATTAGTGTGTATCACTCAAACTTTCAATTATCAAACATATTAAGTAATAGGACAGTTTGCAAGGGGTACTGTAACAAAAATCAAACCAAACTTGTAACAAAATTAATAACCACCAGGGCACAAGCTCACAACAAACTAGCAGTACAGCTCAAAACTTCAGAAATAAACAACCAGACCACACATGACATAGCATATCAAACCATGTAACCAACCGATACTACAGCCCCAGGTGAATTAATGATTATTTAAAACCAAACACCGGCATATCCCAAAACAGGTACATATACATACTTAATAATTTCCCGATTTTTAATTTAATCTATGAAAAACATTGAATATCAAAATTATAAATTGAAGTAACCATACCTTCCAGCCAAATATTCTCTTCCAGATTATAAAACCTTATAGCTTCTAACCACCGAGCATCAAATTCCTCCGCCTCTAAAATACCGTATATGATATTTTCAAACTCATCCTTTATAGCATCGTACAACTTCATCTTACCGAGGTACTTGCCAAACTTCTGAAGAATGTGCCATATGCACCACCTGTGGCACGTGCCTTGCATAGTCACATACATAGCTTTCCTAATCAAAGCATCTTAATCGGTAAGGATCGATATGGGAGCTTTACCACCCATATAATGCAGCCATGTCCACATGACCCACTCATAAGTCTCAGCAGTCTTCGGAGAGATCAATGCATATCCAAGCAATATACTCTGGCCATGATGATTGACCCCAATGAATACAGCAAAGGGGAGGTGAAATTTATTTGTAAGGTACGTGCTGTTGAAATAAACAACATCACCAAACTCCTTATACGCAGCTCTACTCCTAGTATCAACCCACACAACATCCTGTAATGCACCATCCTTCCCAAACCTACAGAGGTGGAAAAAGTTCTGGTTTTCCGCACTCATTTTGTTAAAATATTCGATCATACCATTTGCATCACTCTCTGTCAGCTCGAGCTTCTTATGGTCAACAACTGCATTCTCCAAGTCTTTCTGGGTTAATGTCAATTCCTCAACTCCATTACATTCTCGTGTAATGAGTTATCCATTTGGGATACCTTCACCCTAGACTTCCTGGCAGCACATGTCTGATTAACCAAGTGTTTATTTTTAACCATCAACTCATGTTTGCAATGCATAGACACATCCTTGGACTTTCTTGGTGTCACAATGTGTCCATGATGTTCCAACTTCACCCTCCGAACCACCCAATTCCCTTGCTCGTTAACACTAGCATACAACTCTACACCACATCCACACTTTTTTGTTTTCCTTTTCACAACCATGTCCTCATCTTGCTCCAATCCTTCCCTGAGAGGATCAACTTTACGCTTCCTAGATGGTTGTCTATGGCATTCACAAATCCATGTCGCATTCCTCTTTTGTTTACAACACTTTCCATCTCATAATTCTGTCTTCGCCTTTATCCACCCAGACGCAGCACGAACAATACCAAATCCCCTCTGCCTACCATACCTCCAAAAATAACTATCAACATCATCCCAACTGCCAAAAACTATTCCCACAACAGGGGGTGGTACTTCCTCTTCCTCACTAAAAACAGTGTTCACAATAACCTTTTTCCTTGGGGTCGTCGTTACCCTAGACCCCCCCCACCTCCACATCCCTAACAACATCATCTCTTGCTACTTCTTGTACTTCCTCACCATCTGACCCATATCCTTTTGTATCAACTTCTAATCCCTCCTCTTCTTCCACTTCTACATTTTCATTCACATCCTCTCCTATACCTGGTTCCTCATACATACATACATCATCCTCACTATCATTTACATTATCATCAATCAGACCATCCTACACAGAATATACATATCATTTATAACAAACCAAGTACAATCTATTAACACCTAACACCATCAGTTAACAAGTTCATGATAAAATCAACCCATTACAAACAACCTCAAATTACGTCATAGAACAACATCAACATTATCACAAAGTCATAGCAACATTATACAACAATACAAGCAAACTTATACTAAGAATTACATCATAATAACCTAGTCATGCCAACAAATTACATTATAGCACCAAATTGCAGAATACCACCAACAACTTTCAACATCAAACAAGCTCAGCAAATAGCAACATTGTACAATTCAACTTACTTCAAAATCCCCCAATTACCCCCAACATCTCCAAAATTTAACCACCGTTCTTTCAATTTGACGAGAAATCTAGGCCAAACCAAGTATTTATTCATCAACATCAAACTTAACATCCCTAAACAACTACATCACTCTTTTCAATTACCTAAATTAATTCCAATTAAACGTTTAAACCCTAAAAATTATATCCAAATCAAACTTCAAAATGTATAATTACTGTAAGGCATGTACGAATCTTACATTTTCACAATCGAATCGCAACTCCCTAGCGCAGCCATGCCCGTCTTCTCCACTTAGTGCTTCAGCTAAATCCACGCCAAGAATCTTAGCTAACCTCGTTCTCATCCTCAAATTCCAAGCTAAAATTTACGTAATTTAATTGCTTTATGTCAACCACTCGTGCATCAATTGAAAGGAATTCAATGCCTTGAATATTAGTTTTCCCTATTCGCCATTGAAGAGTACCTCCACAAAAGTACTTACTACTTTGGGATAAAAGAGGAAAGTAGCTTTCTGAAAAAAAGATTAGTATTCCCCCTTACATTTTCGTTTCCCCGTTTTCACTTTCATTGCCCGTTATTTCTTTGTACCACCTGGCATGTTGACCCCACTACGTCCCCACCACAACTTCAACCATATTACAACAGTGCCATCCTATTTACGTTGCTCGTAAATAGGCTCTATGCGACAGGAGTTCTCCTTTTTTCTAGTGATGACTATTCAATATGATAATTCACCAATTAAATTATTTCCATCTTACTTTTAATTTGGATTATGATTTATGAGCTTGTCATTTTGTTATTTTGCTTCAAATAATGTTAGGAAGACACATTTTTTTTTTCTTAAATGAAAGTCAATGTTTAATGTTCCATTGAGATTATATTAAAAAATGAAAGTTAATGTTTAATGTTTCATTGAGATTATGTTCTATTGTATTAAATAGAAGTATCAACTCTACAATTAATACAATATAGTCATAACGTAATAATTTTCTCATGTTCAAAATGATTCTTAATAAAAAAAATTTTATTAGCTAAGTTCAGAACTTAGGATAGGTCCTTCAAATCGCTTATGACGACCCTTATTCAAGAATATTCATTTAAGATAGGAGAATCTAAAAGTCCAAATCATCATAAAAATTAAAAATAAATAGTGTAAAATAAAAAAATAAAAAAATAAAAAAAAGAACTTTCAAACCTACAAAGTATTTGACTATTTGTAACCTTTTTTTTGTACTCCATAAAAAAAATCTAGAAGATGAATGAGGGGATGGAGGGATGGTTAGTCCCTCCATTTCCCCCTAAGTGTAGGGGTTTGATTCCCCGTAATCCCTATTTATGTGATAAGGTGGGAGAATTTTCCGAAAAAAAAAAAAAATGACAAATCAAAACAAGTCCAACCATCAGTCACAAGCACAACACAAGAATTGAAAACTTACCATCTTCCCTCCAATCCTCCACAATTACTTTGCATTTCCCTCCCCGGAACACTTTTATATTCCTTCCTTTATACACTTTCCTCCAAACATTTTATTTTTCCCGCCTTAATCTAAATCCCGCTCTTCATCAACGGTCCATATTCACCGCTACATTTTACCAAATAATTCGTCTTTATAATTTACCGCTACTTTTTTATTTATTATCTGCACCAACCTTTATTCTCTCTTATACTTCTCTAAAAAAAATCCCCAATTTTTTCTAAAACCCTAACTTTTTTCTTCAATTTCAGCTTCTAAATTCGCCAACTTGCTACTCAAATTCCTAATTAACGGTGATTTCGGCTAGTAACGTCGGATTTTTCGCCGGCATTTCATTTTACCGATTGTTTCGCCGGCGTCACGACGGCGGATCATCGGAGTTTTTTGTTTTCCGGCGGGTTTTGGTTGTCATATTTCAACTTAACTTGTAAGTTGAAGTTTTTCCGGCGACAATTTGTGGAAGAAACCCGGCGGTGATTGAAGCACCGGTGCTATCTGCGGCGGTGATTCCATCGCCGGAGGTAGTTGCGGCGGTGGTCGAAGTACAGGTTTCAGTTGCGGCGGTGGTTGAAGGACAGGTGTCAGTTGCGGTGGTTATCGTTGTTCTAGTTGGTGGTAGTTCAGGGTTAGGACTTAGGAGAGAGAATGTTTGATAGTGAGGGAAGTGATGCTTTTGAATATGATGATTGTATGGATATTGTGCCTAAAGAGGTATAAATTTCCCGTCTTCTTGTTCTTTTTTTTTATTTATTTTTTTATTTTTTAGTATTTTTCTAATTGGCGATTATTATTTTTGGACGGTTCCATATGATTATTCATGTTAGCCGACCTCAAGTCATTTTTTGTTTAAGGCTTGTTGTTGTTGTGGCGTAATTTGAAGCTAAATTTGTTTTGTGTATATCTATGAAATGGTTTGGTCGATTGATACTTCTTAGATTGAAGGAGGGGTGGTTGAATGGAGTTTAGAATGTTGCAAATGATTACGGGGGTATGATTAACATTTTGTGTGTTTTAAAGCATGGATGATAATGATATATGGAGTATCTGTTATGATTTTAGTAAGAATTCGAAGTAATTAAAGGCGAAAATTATTATTTTAGTGACATATAGGTGCTTGGTAATTGAAGTAGGTTTCTTATCACTAATTGGAATTTCAGGCAGCATATTCTGGTTTGATAGGCCATATTTAGTTTGTGGATTTTGGCAATATATGTAAACTACTGCAAGTACAGGAGTATAAGACTATTTTCAGTTGATTTTGAGGGTTGCCCTATGTTGAAAAGATTATAACTGTTGGTTTCGAAATTTAAATTATCTTGATGTGGTTTCTGCATTCTGTACAGGTTCAGGTTGGTGGCTCCCCGTTATACAAGGTTGCAAAAAAGCTGGGAAAGGGGGGATTTGGTCAAGTTTATGTTGGTTGCCGGGTGTCTTCTGTTGCAAATATGAAGAAAGGCTCTGATGCTGTGGAGGTATGCTGTCTATTTTGTTACATTATGTTCTTCTTTATGTGTCATCAACTTGTTACAGTAATACTAAAGTTGGGTTGTAGGTAGCCTTGAAGTTTGAACGCAAATACAGCAAAGGATGTATTAATGGTCCTCCGTTTGAGTGGCAGGTGTACAAGTATGCATTGTATCTTCCTGTTGTTTTCTTTTGTAGTTTAATATTTGTTCTTTTTTTAGCATCTGAATTTATTATGATTTATTTGTTTAACAGTAAACTGAGTGGAAGCCATGGTGTACCACGAGTACATTACAAGGGATCTCAAGGTGACTACTACATCATGGTGTGTATTTTACTTCTACTTGCAAGGTTACATCTTGTGTTTGCATTGTACTTTCAAGGTTAGTGATGGTTTCATTTTATTTTTTATTTTTTATGGTATTATCAGGTCATGGATATGCTTGGACCTAATCTATGGGATACTTGGAAGAATAAGAGCCAAACGTGAGACCTTACTATCGTTGTTTCATTTATACTACGTAATAACTTGTGTTTGTTAAAATATATGTTGACTAGCTGTGTTGGATCAGAGTGTCAACTTCTATGGCTGCATGCATTGCAGTTGAAGCAATTTCTATATTGAAAAACATCCACAGTAAAGGGTGAGAATTTTAGCAACTTATTTATTTGGGTTTATGTGCTTCATAGACAATGTTTTTACTTCTCTGTTAAACCGTGGTATGATAAGAGTTTTATTTCTCAATATAGTGGATGAAGTTCGATCATTCTAATTTGTTATTTATATATACCTTCTTTTTCTCAATCTTGCATATGTTTCTTGCTCATAAATACCCCCTCTTTCTTATTTGTTTCTGTGTTTTTTCCACGCATTGATTTTGATTTTATGGGTATTAAACTAATAAGAATTTGTGGAAGCCTATTTCTTTTGCATACTCTAATATGCACCATAAATGGTGAAAGTTCAAATTGGATTTAAGTATGTGGTTCTTCATTACAGTATACAGGCTGCGTCATATTTCAGTCTTGGAAATCGTCTTAATGATATTCCTTGGCGGCTTGATTAAGTAATGATTTTCAAGGTGACCATGGTGCTTTGTTCTAAGCTTTCATCTTCTTTGACTGGCAGTTATGTCCATGGAGATGTGAAGCCTGAGAATTTTCTGCTGGGTCCTCCAGGGACACCTGATGAGAAGAAGTTATTTCTTGCAGATCTTGGATTAGGTTTGCTATTAGTTATGAATCATGTGGATCAATGTTCATCTTCTTTCTTTTTTTTTTTTTTTTTTTTTTTTTTTTTTTTTTTTTTTTTTCATTTTGCTTATGTTGACACTTGGGAGTTCTATCTGTTGTAGCAACAAAATGGCAAGATTCTAGAGGTCTACATGTTGGGTATGACCAGAGGCCAGATGCATTTAGGTTGGAAAACTTGATTTTTTATTTTGGGTTTTTCTACGTAGTAACCTCGTTTTTTTCACTTTTCTACGTTGTGCCCTAACATATATGACTTTCTACGCTGTAACCCTAAAACACGAAAAGTGACTATATTGTGCCCTTGCCGTTAGTGCTTCCGTTAAAACCCAAAAATTAAACTTTTTTTTTTTTTTTTTTCATTTCCTCTTCCTCTTCATCTTCTTCCTCCCTTTCAATTCCACACCTCCATGAATGGCATTTCCGGCCAGACCTCCGCCCACCACACCTCCACCTCCGGCAACAAGGAACCCCATCCCTTTCCCCCACCCTTTCTCTAAAATTCCCTAAAAAATATAAAAGAAAATTCCCTAAAAAATATAAAAGAAAAATCCTCTGTAAAACCACCGACCCAAACCCAAAATCTTCATCATCTTCTTCACTCTCACTCTCATTTTACACTCAAATACA